ACCAGGTAATCATCAATACAATGAGAAACCATATTGAAGGCCTTCTTAAAATCCAAGAGAGTTAATCACATCATTGAACTTTTTAGACATGGGTTCTAGATTTCCAAACTTGCTCTTGCATTCTGAATCAATACTAGGAGCATTCATTATATTGAGTCAGAACATAACTTAGTCCAAAATCAACTAGAGTGTTTCTCCATCCATCCCCTCCAGATAGCTATTTTGTCTAACCAAATGCCACGATTCATCTGATTCAGTACAACCTTTCCTACTTTCTGGGACACCTTCCCCATTCCCTTGTTCCCTCTTCAGGAGGCTCCAAAAATATTTCCCCAACAGTGATAATCTCTCTTCTCTGAAGATTTCTTAGAAAATGGACGCCCTTCCCACCCTCGGTGGGACAGTTTCATAAGCTCAGTCTGAAAAGTAAGCAGCTTCTGGAAATAATAGACACCCACCACATTTGCCCCTACTTCCCAAATTGGATATCTGGGACCACTTCTTCCCTTCCCCTTGCTCTTTCCCATCACAGAGCCATCCAGGAGGATGAAGTGTAGCAATCAGCTAACCAAGGAGATCCAAGCTAGTGATTGGCTGTTTGCTCTTCTTCCTATTTGGCAACCTCTGGCCTAAGGAAGAAGGAAGTTCATCAGTAAGACATGAGAGCTACACATCATGCTGAACAAAAAGAGGTGGGCCACAGAGCTCAGAAGACAAGAATAATGATGTGGAAGAGTCTGGAAGAGGAAACTGGGTCAAGGCGTATAAAGAAGAACCTATCAAATGTAACTTAAAGCCTTTGGACAGATTAATTTTTTGTAGGTTGAGATTTCAATTAACTTTAATCCACACTGGTAAGCTTCTTGACAGGAATGACTCTTCTTTGGAACTACTAGACAGTTCACCAGTATGACAGCACACTGCTATATGCTGGGAAATGACAAGCATTAGATCATTCAAAAGCAGGGTGGGGCATTCTTGAGCCATTAGGCCATACTTCACAGAGGCCTGATTCCCAGAGAAGTCACAGGTGTGGAAAATACCCTTAATTGCCTGTATCTCGGGTTCTGCATTTCCTGACTTCTGAATATCTGCACTGTACTATTAAAACACAAACCCCCCCAACTATTCCACTGCAGAATATTGGCATTTACCATGTGAAAGGAACACCCACTTCCCTTTCTTCTTTGGAGTAGGTTAGTAGATGTCAAATGGCAAGAACACCATTTAGATCTCGCAACATTTTGTCTGTTTTACGAGAGTAAGAAGGAAGATTACTCAAGGCTTTAAAAGCAAGGTCACACAAGTCAGAGTTGCTGTTGTTAGGGCCCTGATTTTTGCAAGCTCTCCAAACTTGAAAATCCTACTAGCATCTATTCACAGAATTATCCTACATAAGTCTCGCAGGATCAGTCTTGATATCATGTTCATACTACTAATGTTACGTTTCCAGATTGGAGTAGCGCAAGAGCCAGAGTCGCTGTACTCCGCAAATTAAAGTATGACAAGTAGCTCAACCATTAAACCTAGCATATTAATATTATTTACTGCATTTGTTCAGCAGCAGTTTTCTGTACTATAAGTCATCTAAAGGATTTCAGAGATTTGCTGAGTGTAGAACAGAACTATTAGAAATAGCCATACCACTATCTAAAAACCTTTACATGTTAGAGATTCACATTTTGTTTCCAACTTTACAGGAAAAGGCATCATTATGCATGCCAGAGGGCTTCGTTTTGGTTAAAAGGGAGCCCTGGAAGAAGATGATCAGTGTCCTTTTCACAGCAATAGCACCAATTTCTCCCATTTCAAATGAAGTCCTCAGCATTGTATATTTTTAAATGGCTATTCAAGGCTTCAGAATAAGCCTTTCTATTTCTGAGATATACACACACACAAATCAGAAAATAAATAATAAAGTTGTAATTAATGAATTAGTTAAAGCGTCTGGGGGAAAAGAGAGAGAGAGAGAGAGAGAGAGAGAGAGAGAGAGAGACCTAGGATGGAAAGGCACTGAGAGAGAGAGAGAGAGAGAGAGAGAGACCTAACATGGAAAGGCACCCCCCCGCCAATAATATTTCAGAACCATTTTTCATGGTTTTCTTATGCTTCTCATGAATTCCATTATACCAGGACCTGTAATTTTCAGAGCATTATGTTCAACAACTTAATATTTCCTGGCAACTAAAGTGGAGTTAATAGCACATATTTCTTTCCTCCATTACTGGTAGTTCTGTGCACTGCACTAGAATGAGGCATTCAAGTGTGTGCATTTAAAATACCATTCCCATCCTGCATTTGCATTATAATATCCAAGTGATTGAAAGAGCAACACCACTTCACTAAGCCAAATTACATAACCCCATTCCTTCAGCTGACACACTATAGGTACCTTCGTTCCAAAAAAACAGGTCTTCACTTACTGCAGAGGTATTGTAAGGATGTTTTAAAGAAAAACATTATCAATTTAATTTTTTTAGACCTACATTTCCTTTTATGCAAACAAAAGCATTCAGCTTCCCAGGATATATTTTTTGCCTTTCACCACGTGCTAACAAGGCATAACATTTCCAAGTGCACTCAGCCTTCCTTTGATAGAACATCTGCATCAAAATTCAAAAGTCAGGCAAAGGAGAACACGTGCATGAGAAACTCTCAGCAGATATTCAGCCATTAAACATGTCGAAAAAAATCCAGCAATAGCTGGATGGCTTATCCTGACCTGGCTTCCTGCACAAAGGAGGAGTAGATTTAAGTTTCCTAAACATTTCTTTTTTTTTTTTTTTTTTTTTTAATAAAGAGAAGGCTACACTAGAGCTAAATACAGCAAACTAGAGAGTTGTTTTCTTCCAAACTCTGAATGCATCACATCCTAAATGGAGGGAATGACTTGACTTTTTACTTCAGGTTAAAATAACCTAGACCTCCCAAGATCACAAGCTTAAGTCAATGCACCCACTCATCCTTCCAAGCTAGCCACTTGCTCCAAATAGGATAGGAAAGCATGAGCTGTTTAAGATCAGCTGCTCCTCCAAGAGCGGTACCATTAGCCTCCCTCAGAGTTGCATCAAAAAAGCGGCTTTAAGTAGTGACCAAGGTTGCCCAAGAGATGTACTGATCTAGCTCAGCTCCCACTCACTGTGACCACATGCTGCCTTTCTGAATGTTCTGCCAAGAGACTGCACCTCGCCACTCTCACCCAGCTGGACTTTCCAACATGCGCAGCCCTGGCTCTGCAGGCAGATACTAGGGAACCAGTGCAACCATCCTGTGTACAGTATTCAGGTCCAATTAGAGGTGCTATAGATACACATATATGCAAAGAAATGTGCCATGGGGAACAGATGCTCAACAGGATTAAGAGATGGTCCAAAATGAACAGATGTCACGTTTTCACTCCCGATTATATTTCATAATTGTGAAAACTGACCTTGTACACTTCAGCTGTTAACAAGCAACATTGTATGGGATCACACCGGTCTATTCACTGGCTCACCAGGAGTCCCAGGTTTGACTTACATTAAGAGGAGACCTTCCCCTCTGGATAACCTCCTTTAGGAATCTGTTCACTAAGCTAGAAGCATACACGTGAGAAAAATCCCACTCATTTGATGCATTTATGTTTCTCTCTGACTCAGTAGGAATCTTAGAAAAATGAAACAGAAGGAGAGCATAATAAGTTTTCAGGGATGTGGGTATTTTTCTTTTTTTTCCTCCTTTAAAAAAATGGGATTCCCTGTAACAACATAATGCTGCAGAGGGATTCATTGATTTAGCAGTAGCCACATTTCATCTACTGGAGAAAGTTGTAAAATAATTGATGTGAAGGCAGTAGCTTTTCAGCCATTAGAAATTCTAGCAAAAGCAGGTGCTTCTTCCTGTCCATCTTCCTGATCATTACCCACTGGTGGAGGCTGCCTCTTTGTGGCAGAATGCAGTGCGAGATGCAGCATAGATCTTGCACTCTGCTGCTTCAGCTTCACGTGGCCACAAGATCTGCTTCACTCACCATACTATGCTCTAAAATCCATGTTTAAATGTACCACTGGTCAAACCCTAAAATGTGGAGGCAGGGAAAAGACATTAGATCTACTGACTCTGGTAGAATACCAGGTAGTCCATTCACCCTTTTGCAATACATTTTCTTTGGTATTGAAGCCTTGAGGCATAGGGGGTCTTATGAAAAAGATCAGTTTTAGAAATAGGGGAAAGGAAAGGAAAGGAAGGAACACAACAGTTTAAGCACTCAAATTTCATTTTCTAAATGTTAAGCCCCATCTTAAAAAGCTTTTACTGGCACTTACAGATCATGCAGGAGTGCCAGCAATATGGTCACAACCCACCAGCTCTTCAGATCACAGCTGGTTGTATGCCATGTTTCCGCTTATTTCATAATTAATTGAAATACTTCCCATTTATACAGGGCTTTGAACATACCAAGAGATTCCTGGTTATTGGTTAGCAACAAAATCCCCTTGGAGAACTAGACAGCTCTGTTCTCATTTACAGACATGAAAACCCATAAAAGAGAGCCACACGACATGCCCAGTGCCATCCAGCGGCAGAAAGGCTCAAGCTCCTCCAACTTCTCATTGCACATCCATGCCTCGGGGCCACGCTGGTTCCCAAGAAACACCGGCTCGAGTGTAATGGAGGTGGAGGCATGCCAGCCCCGTGCTAGGAGACAGGACCCTGCGAGTCCCGATGCCTGTCTCGGTTTGAATGCCCCCGGCCTCAGTTTCCCCGCCTGTTCAAGCCTAGAGGCCGGGGCCTTCCCTTGGCTGCGGACAGCGAGGGAGGCCGGAGCCACCAGCTGCATTTCTCTCGAGTCCCCACCGGCCTCCGGGCAACCCACCGGCCTCGCCTCTCCGCAAGGAAGGGAGCAAACCCCCTCCCCTCCTCTCCCCCACCCACCTGCTGCTGCTCCCCCGGGGCCCCGCACCCGCTCCCCGGGGGCCACTCAGCCCCCGCAAGTTGCAAATGCAAAGGCATCCCCCTACCTTCAGTTGCATAGCTGTGATCGCGCAGGAAACTGCTGTTTATCTTGCGGGTATCAATGTCCTCCTCCATTGGCAGCGCGCTCGTTCGCCCCGGCACTGAGAGCAGGCAGGCAAGGATCCATCATCCCCGCCCGCGGCCGAGCTCAGCGGCGCGGGGGGACGCGGGGCATGGTCCTGCCCTGCCCTGCCCTGCCCTGCCCTGCCCGCCGGCGGCCGCCCCCCCCCCGCCCCCTGC